AGAGAGGGGGGTGGGGTGGGGGCGACCTCCAGAGACCATTTATCTTGGTTGCACCTCCAAAGGAGGGCATCCAGCTGAGACCTGATTGACAGGCTAAACTCCACCCATATCTTCTTCCAGGTGCCATGTTGGCACACAAAACCTAACTACACAACATCTGCCGGCCTCAGGTTGAAGGTACCTTACTCAGACAGGCTTGCTCTGACCACCTTGTGTCTCCACAAAGTAATGTCTGGGGTGTACATTTGGAAACAAGTAGATATGCGTTTTTGGACAAAAACAATACTAAGAGTGTAAATGGCTGCCCAGTCCACAGATGTCCAGGGAGAGTTTAGCTGCTGGCACTCCAGTCTCTGGCTGCCACCCTGAGGCCGCAGGCTGCCTCAGCTTGCATAGGGAATGCTCTTCCCAAGCCCCTTTAATACACCTTTTGCCAGTCACATAAAGCCTAGTACCCCATGTGTCTGATCTACCAAAACGATCTAATTATCATCTCTTGTTGGCAGGATTAAAGGTTATATTTTGCCTATTATCAAGCTTTTTAAAAATCACCTACATTTCCCCCACCAAATCAAAAGGCGTTATTTACTTTGTAATCACGAAATAGGTGTTTAGGTTTTGAAAAGGCTAGCCAGCTGTCACTTGGCTAATTTTCCAGAAAAGACTTTCTAGGAATCAGCTTCTGTTCAAGCACAGTAAGCCGTGACTCCTGGTTTCCCGTGCACAACAGACAAGCACTAGCCCGTCCTGCACCGTCCTCACACGTGTGGTCATGTTTGAGCCCATTGCTGCAGTCACTGTGCGAGGGGAGAAAATCTTATGTTCTTATTTTAACTTTCTCTTCTCTGATTCCCATGGGAGCCGGATACCACTATGAAAATATCCACACCTTGGAATATTGAGCCCCTGAGATCTAGAGGGTGGCATTCCCTAAGAAAAGCTCCCACAGGGTTAGAAAGGAGGAGGGCTGGGAACGGGAAATGCGTGGTACAGGGCAATAAAAGAGACGAAACCAAATGTGTCTGAGTTGTTTGATGGTGAATCGATCTGTTCTGTGAACCTCATTTCACAATAAAGAGTTTAAAAATATTAGAAAAGATGACACTCTGGTCTGATAGAGACTCCTAAGATGGTGTCCATAGACACCCCTCAAATCTGGGACTGAAGCCACTCCCAGGGATTACCTTTCAGCTGACTGTCTCTCCAGGGAGCTGTGACACCCAGAAGGAATGTGGTCTCCGGAGAACCCACGCTCCTGGGGCCAAGGGCAGTATTTCCCCCAAAGTTCAGAAGACAGGCAAGAGCAGGCAAGGTGGGCAACTGGAACGGGAACCCATGGAGGACGTGCTTCTACCTAAGTCCAAAGTTTGTCTGTTGAGGGAGTGCAACTAACATGGCAAAGCAAAATGTTTAGCAACTGTTGCACGGGACATGAATCTGTCCCGAAGACTGCCACCCCAACCACAAGAAAGTGTTTTTAAAAAACTATCGTACCACATTTCAAACCCAAAAATCAAATTATTGCTCTCAGTAGATTCTGATTTGAAGCGATTCTATAAGAGAGACTAGAGCTACCCCATGGGGTTTCAAAGGCTGTAAATATTTATGGAAAACTGTCATATCTCTCTGCCTAGGCACCGTGTTTAGAAGACAGGAATCTTTTTGTCAGTTTTGACATTTGTCAAGATAAAAATGATCTCTCAGTGTTCCTAACACTTCTCCCTAGTGAGTCCCCGAAGGCGATGGATTGGCACAGTGATGGCAACTATGGGCCCAAGCATAGCTGCACTTGTGAGGATGGGCAGTGGGGTGTTGCTTTGTTGTATGTTGGGTGACAATGAGCTGGAACTGATTGATGACATGGAACGACAACTTGTCCCTAAGGGCTTGTTCATGGGGTCAAGGACCCCTGACACATGGGGTCCTCTATTAGTGTGCCTATGTTCAGATAAAATTCTTTCTTTATTGACGGGTGCTATGAGGAAAGTTCTGTCAGCTTTTTAATTAGAAGCTTGCGATCTGAATTTTATGGGTGACACTTAAAAAGCTACTTAATTTTTACTACCTTTCGGTTTCTCCAGTTTATTCACAAAGCTCTTTCTCCTGTCTCAGGTGCTGGGAGCTTAATGCTGGAGACATTAAGTGGATTTATCAAGCTCCAATCCTAGCAGCTATAGGGGTAAGTTCAAACGCTGGTCTAGTTTAAGGAAAAAAGGTGACAGTAACAACCACTTTACAACAGGTTTGGGAAAGCGTCCGTGTACAGCCATAGCTATTGGGAGAGTCGGGGTCAGAGATAGACCCTCACTGTGCTGAAAGCACATGGTCTCCCTTTAATGAGCCAGCAGGGAGGGTGGGCGGCACTTCTGGGGACTTCAAGCTATTTAGAACATGTGTACCATGGGCCATTCCATCTTGGAGTTGACTGTGTTAGGTCACACCAGGGGGGATTACCAGGCTCTAACTGCCCAGCCATTGAGAATCCTGGCTCAGCCACATTGTCACAGAGCCTGACCATCTGATCACCGAAGAACTGAGATTTCAGTGTTTCACTCAGGTTTCTCTTTCAGGCAATAGAAGGATGGGTTGGATCAGTTAAGTATGGCAGTGGGACCATCAGGTAATGATGAGAGTGTGCTGGGTGAGGGTCTCAGTAAGCCCCAGCACTGGCTCTGAGAAGAGCTAGGAAACCAGGAACAGAGAGTTGACATTTTGTGGGTTTTCTGTTTACATTGGGAATGCATTCTACTCATTTCCACGAGAGGGTCCCTCCTAAACCCTTCTATCTTGCAAGACATCACCCTTCGTCTGTTCCATGCCATCTCATCTTCACACTGTAGCCACCTTTCAGTTCCTTGAATTTGTTTCCCACCATAAGGCTTTTGAATATGCTGTTCTGTGGGACAGGCATATTATTCCCCTGGTCATCACCTTCCTAACACCTACATGTGTTAGGCCAGCTTGACTAGAGAAAAAATCCATAGATACTCAAATATATGTAAGAGAGAGCTTTATATCAAGAAGTAATTACATATCAAGCAAACATCCCAGCCCTGTCCAGATCAAGTCCATAAGTCCAATACTAGTCCATAAATCCCTCTTCAGACTGACACAGCTACACACAATGATCCCAAATGCAGAAAGGCCAGTGGGTGCAGTGTTGTGTGGATCCAGTGGCAGTGGGTGCATCCCAGGGCTCACATAGGTCTTAGCATGGCTCGTCAACAGGAAGGTGAAGGCAGAGAGAGGGGGGTGGGGTGGGGGCGACCTCCAGAGACCATTTATCTTGGTTGCACCTCCAAAGGAGGGCATCCAGCTGAGACCTGATTGACAGGCTAAACTCCACCCATATCTTCTTCCAGGTGCCATGTTGGCACACAAAACCTAACTACACAACATCTGCCGGCCTCAGGTTGAAGGTACCTTACTCAGACAGGCTTGCTCTGACCACCTTGTGTCTCCACAAAGTAATGTCTGGGGTGTACATTTGGAAACAAGTAGATATGCGTTTTTGGACAAAAACAATACTAAGAGTGTAAATGGCTGCCCAGTCCACAGATGTCCAGGGAGAGTTTAGCTGCTGGCACTCCAGTCTCTGGCTGCCACCCTGAGGCCGCAGGCTGCCTCAGCTTGCATAGGGAATGCTCTTCCCAAGCCCCTTTAATACACCTTTTGCCAGTCACATAAAGCCTAGTACCCCATGTGTCTGATCTACCAAAACGATCTAATTATCATCTCTTGTTGGCAGGATTAAAGGTTATATTTTGCCTATTATCAAGCTTTTTAAAAATCACCTACATTTCCCCCACCAAATCAAAAGGCGTTATTTACTTTGTAATCACGAAATAGGTGTTTAGGTTTTGAAAAGGCTAGCCAGCTGTCACTTGGCTAATTTTCCAGAAAAGACTTTCTAGGAATCAGCTTCTGTTCAAGCACAGTAAGCCGTGACTCCTGGTTTCCCGTGCACAACAGACAAGCACTAGCCCGTCCTGCACCGTCCTCACACGTGTGGTCATGTTTGAGCCCATTGCTGCAGTCACTGTGCGAGGGGAGAAAATCTTATGTTCTTATTTTAACTTTCTCTTCTCTGATTCCCATGGGAGCCCCATTTCTGAATCCTATAAATACTTGATTAAAAAAAAAAAGCCTGGTTCCTCATTGCATTTTCTGCCCATCCTTGACTTGCCCGCCAAATCTAGCCAGCTAGTAAGTTAGGACATGCGCATTTGCATTGACCTGGAGCTCTTGCGGCAGAGCGGGTTGGACCGCTAAACGGCAAGGTCAGCTGTTTGAATCCACCTGTCACTCCACTGGACATCGACGAGGCTTTCTGTTCTTGTCAAGACATATAGCCCCAGAAACCAAAAGGGGGCGGGGGGTGGTTCTGTGCTGCCTTAGAGGGTCACTGTGAGTCAGAATTCAGAATTGGCTAAGTGACAGAGAGGTTGTTTGCTTTTGTGTGTGTGTGTGTGCCCTGGGCTGCTTCCTGTGGGGCCTGCGAGAAAAGGCCGAGGTGGAAACCCCTGAAGCACCAGGGCTTGCTTCGCTAGTACAGCATCTTTCACGGGCGGACCAGCTGAGAGCGAAGGGCATGGGGGTTTTGCCCTCTTTTGGGAGTGAGGCCAAATGTATCACAAACCTTAGGAGCATCGTGTTTGCCCTGGATGCCTAGGTCACAGCCCAGATAGGCCTCTGGAGTGTGCATGCTGAAATGTTATTGTGCAAACCAGACTGGGGCAAGGTATTTAAATCCAGGGTTCGCATTGCTGATTAAATAGCATTCGGATTGCTTTTGAAACAGAGGCTGGTACATTGCCCTATTAAGTAGTAGCTATTTTAATTTTCCTTTAAAATAAATGCCTGGTGTAAGGATAGCCACTCACTATGCTCCTGGTGGCGTAGTGGGTAAGCATTGGGCTGCAATCCTCAAGATTGGCAGTTTGAATCCACCAACAGTTCCATGGGAGAAAGACAGGGCTTTCCACTGCTGTAAATAGTTACAGTCTGGGAAACTCAAAGGGGCAGTTCTGCCCTGCCCCATAGGATTGCTGTAAGTCGCCAAACTCATTTGATGGCAGTGAATTTGGTTTCTTTTATTATAAGCCTGGAATTAATTTGATGGCAGTGAGGCCTTTTTTGTGTTTATTATAACCTTCAGGTTTTTCTGGATGATACAAATAATTGACACATTTGGCTACTGACCTAACGGTGGGCAGTTAAGGTATGTCTAGACTCTAGAGGCTTCTCAGAAGAAAGGCCTGGCGATCTCCCTTTGAAAAATAAGCCATATGGGACAGCTCTACGTGGACACCGAGGGGCTTGCCAGGAGTTGCCATCGGCTTCACGGCACCTCTTTTGGTTTGGTCTGATAACCTTCAGGCTCAGTAGCTTTTTCCCTTCTTAATACTCCTGACAATTATACTGTTTCTGGTTGTCTTCCACACTACACAAAAGGTTTATGTGGGCACGAGCCAGTGTAAATACACACACACACACACACACACACACACACACACATATATTCTTAAATCCCATGTTTCTAGAAGCTAATAAAGTTCCCAGCACATCGTGCTAATAAGCGCATATTGAACAAGGAATGCATGCATGCCAAATGGATATTGTGGGGGAACTGTCACCCTGGAGAGGGGAAAAGCAGCAAGCATGTCTAATTGCAGACCTGAATCCACTTTGCGTAACCTTTTATTTCAGAGAGAGAAGCGAACGTCTCCACACGATAAAGGTCACAGGACAAGAGACGATAATCTATAATTTTAATGCCATCAACTCAATGGTCTTTTCACTTGCATTCCAAGACGTAGCAAAGTGGTTCCTGAATTTAGGGAATGACATCTTTCCATTTTTATTACTATGTTTGTGTTTTTCTTCATATGTTAACCTTAGGATTTAAGATTTGTTTGTTTTCTAGTCCTGCATTGCATGCAGCAGGGTCTTTTGCAATGTATACTATCACAAAATATTTGCTCAGAATTTTAAATCTAAAGTGAGTTGTTCTTCATTAATTTTTGCTTCAGCTATTATCGTAATATAAATTCTAATAATTAGACATTTATCTGTTTGGGAATAAGAGCTGATAAAATGTGGTCAGAATTACTAAGGGATATGAGACAAATGAAATTTTCGAAGGTAAAGGAGTTTGTAAAAGTTGAACATTCAGGGGTCCTTATCAAGAGAATGGAATTTTAGAGTTGACCCCGGCTCTCAGTCCAGATTTGGATTTGGGAATTGTAGGAACTAAAATGGAATGTAGCACAATTATTTCCTATGTTTTGTAAGAACTGTATTATACTGAAATGGTTCTATTAATTTTGGAAAAGTTTTGCCCTAGTAAGTGACTTTAAGTAGATAGCATTTTTGATACATGGCTCTACATCTGACTCATCATATCCTGTAAGTGGCTATAGAAATGTTATTTAACAATATGAGAAAGTAGCTGTAGAATCTTGCTTCCGTGCAAATGTTAGAGCTTCCAAAATTTGCTTCCGATTTTTTTCTATCACTTTATAAGGATGAATTTGGTAGAAAGTTATATAACTTCTAGGCTTTTCCATTTGCTATGTGTCTCTCAAGCTGGGCGATAACACCTCTGAGGGGCACAGGAACAATTGGTGGGGTCTGCAAAAGCAGATACCTAGACTTTATCTTGAATGATGGGCTAGCATACAAATGTTTTTAATTTCTAGGAGGGAACTGAGGAATTTTTTGTTCTGGAAAGGGGGTCATAGGCCCAATAAATTTGAGAACCTATGAATTATGTTGATACCAGAGAGTGAGCTTGTTTTAAAGATTTTTCCATATAAGGACCCCAGGTGGTATAGAGCATTATGTGTTGAGCTACTAATTGCCAAGTCAGTGGTTCAAACTCACTAGCTGCTCCTGGGCAGAAAGATGAGGCTATCTACTCCTACACAGATTTTCAGTCTCAGAAACCCTACAGAGGGTCACTATGACAAGCAATTGACATGATCACAGCTTTTTTTTCTTTCTATATCTTTTTAAGAGTTAAAGGAACATGTTTGACTATCTAAAATACTTGTTTCTCTTGTCCAGAAGAATATTTCTATATACCATCAATTAAAACATTCCATCGTATTGGTTTTAAAAAAAATCTGACTTTATTAGTTATGTGGCTGGGAGAGCCTCTAAGGGAAAGTTACTTATGCTCCAAGAATGACAAATCAGATAATTTTCCCATGATTTTCCTTTGTGCCTTGGGCTTGAGAAATGACACATGTATGTGCACAAGGTAATAGATAAATTCACCAAGTTCTGGTCAATAAATTGACTTAAGAGAAAACTTCTGGCTGCTTCCAGACTAGCGACCTTACCAGTGGTTCTCAACCTTCCTAATGCCGCGACCCTTTAATACGGTTCCTCATGTTGTGGTGACCCTCGACCATAAAATTATTTTTGTTGCTACTTCATCGCTGTAATTTTGCTACTGTTATGAATCAGGCGACCCCTGTGAGAGGGGTGATTCGACCCCCAAAGGGGTCGCTACCCACACAGGTTGAGAGCCTGCAGCCTTAGACGAATCTGCACATTGACAGCGCTCATTGGCAAGCCAATTGCAGACTAGATACCCTTTCTCAGAGGAAGTTAGCCAAATCAGCTCTTGTTAGTAAAGCGGCTTCATTGGTGAAACACTTCTCTCGCATATTATGCAGACCAAATCTACTGCATGCAAATCTGGTTTTAATCACGTCTCTCAGTTTTGTTTTGTTTTTCTCTCAATTAGAGCAAATTCACACCACATTTCCCTTCATACGTTCCATGAACTCTTTAAGGATACATAGGACATTGGAATGAATTCTGTTCCTCTGATCACTTATTTTTCATGAATGCTAGCTTCAATTTTAATTAGGTCTTATGTCTATTTGATATCTTCTCTGTTAAAACTGTACATAGAGCCCCAAAGCGACCAATCTGAAAGGTCATCGTTCACCTGCAAT